AACGTTTCTTGTTGCGCCATTTAAAGAATCCCTACAACCTATCGATATTCAGTATTTCAGTGTGTATTGTATACTGTATTTGTGTATTATGTCCAGATTTGCATTGTAAAACCTTAACGAATTATACGTTTAACAAACTACACTACACGAGTACACGACTACAAACAGTATTGACAATATGAAAAATACGATAGTGTTGTTGGGAAATTCCGTAAAGGTAGTCGTAATAACCGAATTGCTTATTTATTACCAAACAGTTATGGTAGACGCAATAACCGATAAGTACCACAAAAAATTGTTCAGAAGGTGATAAATTTATCTTTAAATAAGAATAAAAATAATAAATTAATATACTCGCAGTACCTATAGTAGTCAGTACCTATAAGTATACTAATACTTAACTACAAAATCAGGGGCGGACCCAGGGGGGGAAGTCAGGTGACCCACAGTTTTTTTTCCAGTTAAATGTGGCCCCTCAAAATAGCAAACTATGTAAACATTTTTTTATTCGAAAAAATTGTGAACAGTGGCTGATTTAGAGGAGGAGCACGTGCCCCGCTGTCAATTTTCTGTCGACAATTTATTATGTAACTACTAGTATAGTAGTATCATAAAAATGAAAAATCCAGTTAATAAGAATAATACTATCAACTATTAATTATTATTTACTATAATCATTATTCTTTAAAAATGATAGTATGTATAATGTATTACCTATTAATTAAAATTAAAATTATACTATTTATATGTGCCCCCCCCCTATGAAAATATCGAAGATCTGCTATTATGATGAAGGGGTATATACAGACGTGAAGACCGAGTATTGAAGTAAAATAGCGCGTACGATATCGTGCTTAAACTTATCAACTTATAAATTATAATGTACCTAAATTCGAAAAACACAAGTACAAAAATATGTTAGATATATTATAGGTATAAGATTTTATGAAGTTGACATAGATGAAATTGATATAGAAGTGGAATATCGTTCATTATATCTAGTTTACCAACAAGTGTATGACAAAACTATTGAAACTGGAGTAACTGGACCTTTAAAATTAAATTAAGTATTGAAGTGCATGATATCACGAGACATGGTTTCTTCGTATCCAAGTTTAGGTATATACTTTGTATAACATTTTTATTATATTATACACTTTCAGTCAGCAGTGCGACTGCAGAAAGAAGTTTTAGCCGTCTAAAACTTCTCAAAACATGCCTTCGCTCAACTATGACTAACGATCGGCTATCAAATTTGGCCATATTGAGCATAGCAATCAACATAGCTGATTAAACCATTGATTTTGGTAACGTAATAAGTACATTTGCACTAATGAAAAAGCGCAGAAAATTATTGTAATGTTCAAGTTCTTTACTATTATTTTCATGTAGGTATTATAAAATATAAAATTTATAAATGTATTATTTTTGACTTTTGTAGGTATTGTATTAGAATTTAGAACCCTCTTCTATATTTCTTGTGGAAACGAAATCAGTCATTGAAAACTAAAATGAAATAAATATACTGCAAATATACGTATAAAAATAAAATAATAAATATGTACCTATAGTCCCTTCTAATGATTTAAATATGTCAGGTAATTTTTTAATTGAATATAAATTGTAATGTAACAAATAAAAATAACAATCAATTAAATATAGCTTTAATACTAAATCGTGTAAGTAAATTTTACAATTTACTTAAAAATATGTTATGACTCATGTAATAGGTATAGTTATATTGAATGTTGGTATCAAAATGTGATGTAAATAACTAATAAGGTAGGAATATCGCGAGCGCATTGGGTGACTTTTTAATACCTAGTTGGTTGAAGTTTCTACACAGTGGCCTCTCATAAGTAAGGCAAACCCACAGTTCTAAAATCCTGGGTACGCCACTGTACAAAATGATGTTATTGTTAAAAAAAAATGAAGCCATAGAAATAAAATATCTTAGGCTGATCAATTGTCTCCGTTAAAAATCGTTTTTCATCGTATAGGTACAATGAATAATGATTAAATTCATTGAATTCGAATTTAACACAACCATCATAGGGAATAACTCAATGACCTACTAATTACTATACAGCAGAGCGAGTTTCCGGTTTAGGTATATATAAAATTAACAAAAATCATTTATTATTTTAACTCAAAATAAAAATATTCATAAAATATGTATAATAATTAATAATAAATGTTATTACATATAGGTAGTTACTTAATTACATAATGTAGTTTATGTTACACATTTATAAGTTCTGTCTAGCTGTATACATTGAAATATACATGTGTGTATCCTGGCTATCCAGCACTAAGGTGATGGCTTGAAAGTAGTTGAAACTAAGTAAAAAAAAAAAGCGACTTGCCACTAACATATATTAACAGGAGCCAAAGTTTTTTTTTTTCAATGGTATAACTCTGGATCCTGTAAATAATAATTTGTGCTAATCCGAATAAGGTCATATTATAAGGTATCAATCGATCAGAAATATTGTGCAAATGTCAACGGGGAACTTTAAATGTTTATAGTTAGATAATATTATGTTTGTTAACTATATGCGGTTTATGAGTTATGACACAACCCTAGCGCCTGCGTTCTCTTCTCAACCCATTGAGATATACTATATAATATATAATATAATATATAGTATTACATCTCGTTGGCTATCAACCGTACTCACTGCCACTCTGTCCCAAGAGGGAGAATATCGAGATTGATATTATGGTAAGATCACGGTTGCTCACTGATATTGTTCTATGCTGATACAGTGATACGTGTCGGGAAGTCCGGTGTATGAGTCGCGGGTTCAAATCCCGTACCGTATTTTTTTCATTTAATTCTCGATATCTCTCCCAAGACCGGCCACAGCACTATTGTGGCCGCGTCAACTATTAACTTATAGCTTAACTTTCTAAGCATTGACTTAATTTAACTAACTAATGTTAATTTTTTCATTAATTTGACCCCTTTAATTAGATAATATATAGGTATAGGTTGGTGAGTACCTATACATGGCTATGGCTATATTTCACTATATCTGTTGAGCGCGTTTACGAGTGTTAAATTATAATTTCTAATGACCTACACTATTATTATTATTATTATTATTATTATTATTATTATTATGCAGCATTTTAATAATAATGCCTTGCTAGTTGCTAGGCCAGGGCTTATTCCGATAGCTTTAGTGAGTCCGGGAGCTGAAAAACTATCCGGACACCCTTTGCTTAGGTATATTTAGGTATATTTATAAATACCACTTTAGTACTATTTTAAAGTCATAGTCCTTAATTTTTTATAAAACTGCATATAATAATAATATAATAATATATAATATAATATAACAATATACTTTATATAGGTACCTACTGCAGTTATATTGTCCGCTTACTGCCCTTACCAGTCTTTTTCATAGTAATAAACTATAGTCATTTTTGGCCAGTTATTGTTCTACCGCTAATAATTCTAAGCTTTATAGTGTCTTGCTACATTGTTGCAAGTAACATTTATTATTGAATTTCTTTAACACTGAAAAGTAGAACTTGCTTCTGTAACAGTTAGGTACCTATAATATTGTGTTAAAATCAGAAGGGCCAGATTTGGTTAGAAAATCTACTATCCAAATTTAAAGTTTTAATTGCATTGAGAAGGTTTTCTAATTAAAAATAGATAGATTTATAAAAAATATATAGGTAATATTATTGTTATTATTATTAGTTCTCAAACTTACTCGAATGCGGAATGATCTAAAATTATCTGTATTTCATCGGGAATTTGGGACGTTTCCTGTTATTGTTTACCACAATCTGTCATACTCTACATAATCTTATAATAAAATATAATACCTATATAGTATATTAGTATATTATGCAAGTGCTAACCACGATTTAATAAATATTTCTTAAATCATAGTAAAGAACTTTATACAAGTGAGTAAGTGACACTTGGACATGTATAACTGTATAAGTGTTAACATGTATAGTTCAATAGTTGGAACTGTTGGCAGTTGCTAATTGCTATTATAGTTGTATGAGTGTGTTTATCAAATATACTATATACCTGCTATAGTACCTATATTTTACCATAGAACAGTATTTTACATAGGCCTATTTAAAGACTAAAGTTTATAGGTCTATGATATTTTAGTTTTATCTTTTTGGTATAATGGTTTGGCGTTAAGGCCATAGATAATAAACAAGGTTTATAGATAATAGATAAGAGTTGATAGATAATATATTATCTATAAATCTTGACGTGAATCAGGGAATGGTAAACAAGCCGACCACGCGTTTAGAGCTAGTATTTTTTATATTATACATTTTTCGATTATTAATTATTATATAATATATTATATTATAGGTAGCCAGTAGGTATGGTATAGGTACATTTTAATAATGTTATTAATTGAAATTCGAATTTATTTATTTGATATTTGATCATTATACATTTTAACATTTATACATCAGTCGTGACTCTTGAACAACATTTTATTCAATGTGTGTTTCTATTTTCTTTAGGTACTACCTAGGTACCAAGTAAGTACATAGATTTTGCAATATTGGTTTTTACAATTTACAATTTATTTGTTTATATAACTATTGAGCTATCATAATTTCATACTAAAAGCTAAAAATAAAAGTAGGTATACATAGATTAAGTACCTACATGAAGTGTCATAAACTGTGTTAAGTAGGTATACTTTGTTATATTCTGAATTTATGAATATGAGGTAAGCATTTAACATAAAATACCTATCTTTTACATTATTGTACTACAAAATAAAATTAACTATTATGAATATTTTAAATTGCTAATTATGTTAATTATTTTTGTTAATTTCGGTTGAATTATGAGTTATTGAGTATTTTTATAAAAAAAAATGGCTAATAAAATAAATTAAACCTCTTAAACGGGCAAACAGAATGGAAATAAAATAAAGGTTGGTATTAATTTATAAATATGTATATTTATAAAACATTTTGTTTATCATAATTCATAATTAATAAGTAAAATAAATTCTTTGAAATGAAATATTTCTAGTACGACACATGGGGCAAACTGTATTTGGAACTTCCAACTGTCTGACACATGTGCTGCACACCCATGCATGACCACACGGTATCACAATATATTGTTCTGCTGTTTGATTTATTGATATAGTTGTACATATCATACACACATTTCCATTTCCAATACCGTCTTGCATTTGCGGTGCATTTGGAGAATCAGGTGGAGAATCAGGTATATCATTTAACTGCAGGCCTTGTTCTTCTTGATCCAATTCCATTAAAATCTCTCTTATTATATTCCGATTAGGCAGAGGATTTTCAATCTGGACAATTGGCTGTGGATCGACTGCATTAGGGACATTATTGGGCAAAGGATCTGCTTCAATTGGAACATTGGCTGGTTCATCCGCGTTCATTATCTCCCAGTTCCGTTGCCTTTGCTCGTATGCTGCACTAACATATGAACATTGTTGAAGAAATTGCCATATTGATATGAGTCCCAAGTCATACTGCTCGGTGGAATTTTTTATTCGGCGGGAATTTGCCAAGAACTTTGTCCTCAAATGCCTCGTTGGTCGCAAGTTGTTGAACAACTGTTGCTCAATTATGTGGTAGTTTTGGTTTAAGTGAGTTAGATGGCCTATGTAAAAAAATCATAAATAATGTAAATATTTATTGCAACCATTTAATGAGAATAAGTTTTCTCTGTAATTGTTATTTTGTTATTGTAATATTTTTATTTATTACCTATAAATTAGGTTTAGTTATTATTAAATAAAATTATTGCTAGTTGGTAACAAATATTTTAATACATCATTTGGACAAAGTTCATATAAAGAGGGAAAACAATTCCTACTTTTCAAGAAACCCATATCATCAAATAATTTCTTTTACTCTATTTAATTTGGTTTTTAAATATGTTTTATTAATAGTTTTTATTTAAATGACTTGTATCTTCTGCATTTAAATTTAACTGTTATATCACTTACATGACTTAAGTATGTTATGCCCTTTTTATAGATCAAAAATCAAAATTAATATTATTGAAATTTCCACCATCATATTTTAACTATTTTTTTTTTACTCTATCTAATATTTTTCCATGTTAGCAATAATATCCACTATCAAGTTTTAATATCATTACATTCATTATTTCTACTTATCTAGTGGAGATCAATATGATATACAATTTTTAACTATACTAAGTTTGGTAGACAAACCTACAAGTGATAAATTAATTATTATTAATAAATTGTTGAACTATCTTTTTATATGGTAATACCATTGATTATTATTATTATTATTTTTGATTATTCCATAATGAATGGTAATACCAGTATTGAGAAGTAAAGTAATGCAATTAATAAATTATTTAACTGGTAAAGCTACCCCCCCCCCCTTCACTTAAACTCTGTCCATTGTTTTTGACTTTAAATAAAATAAAAAAAAAGCAAAAAATAATAACATTTCCGTACAACTATACATTCTTTGTCAAATTGAATTTATTGTATGTTATATTATTTTCTTACCAAGAAATACCCACAAACTAGGATGAGTCACAGAAAACTTAATTCTTAGAGCATTATGGAAGCTTTCAATATTGTTATTAGTTCGACGAGGCAATCCATGAACTGATACAATTTGTGGACCAACATTTCTTATCCAATACCTTTAAACAAAATTATTGATTTAACCTTTGTTAGATTAACTGTCTATACAAGATTAGACTTTTTTTAATTTAGAATTTGAATTTAAAGATATTATAATAATTTATTATAACAATAATAATATATTCAGATGAATAAAACGGAAAAGTGTCCAATAGTACACCTGATATAGATTAGATCTAAACAATGTACTATGAAGGTTAGTGTATATACCGTCAGTAGTCAGTACTTAAAGTTAATAATATAAAGAAAATACATTTTTCTCTTACTCAATCAAATATTACAGTTTAAATGTAAATTTAGTCAATTGTAAGTTTATTACACAAAGCCTTGGCTCTTGGGGGAACACGAGAGTAAAGTAGTTATTGTAAGCTAAAATATTATAACATTATTATATTATCTCTGCAGGCAAATCAACTGTTTTATATTATGTATTTCTTATTGACCTCCCTTGGACTTAAATGATTTATATAATATTATATATGTATTTATGCATTTATGAAATTCTAGAATTAAAAATTAAAATAATAATTAACTAAAATTAAAATTTGTTTTTAATTACAATAAAATTTAAATAAATATTTCCAATAAAACCCATAAATTGTAAAGTTATTATCTAACAACAAAAATGTATTGTGTAGATAAGTTCTAAATTTTACTATTTTAAGATTAAGACACCTAATGGAAATTGTACAGGATGTACGAACAGCTAAGAATAGTTTCTTAACTACTAATGTAATGACTAATGTTATTCAAAATTATTGGCTTCAATAAACTGTTAAATGTTGCCTACTGACATTGCTCATAGCTTAAAGTAGTTGTTAGGTATTTAACAAAATATTTATTTTAATAATCTAGGTTTGTTATTATTTGTAAATGTAAATGTATAATTTTTTGTTAATTAAATTTTAAACAAGATATTTTTATTATAAGTTACCGTTCATAGTATGTCAACAAACGTTCTAGATGCACTCCATGGTTTCGACAAAATGCCCGAATCAACAAAAATCCACTATTTATATCTCTGGCAGGCAATAACGGAAGAGACAAGAGGAGTCTTAAAGCTTTCAACGCATTGTCATTGTTGTTGACATGGTGTAAGTAGCCTAAGTTTTTCATTTTTCTCCATACAGCCTTAACAATGTACATACAAAAATATTATGTCATTAATTTTTATTTTATTTATTTTAATAGGTACTTGATTATGGTGAAAAAAACACCCAACAGCACGAGATTCTGGAAATGCCGAAATCAGCGCATCCCTCAGTGCTGTTTCATAATCTGAAATTATAGTTTCTGGAGCTAAGTTTGGCAATAGATTATTTCTAATAAATCGTATTACACAATCATACGAGTTCCTCGACTTGCTTTCCATTAGAACATATACTATGGGTATGGACTGAAATAATGAATTTAGCATTTTTAACCTTAATTATTTATATATATGAAAAATTATTGAAATAATCTTAAATTTTATTAGGCATATGAAAATAAAACAATATCTTACATAGTTCTGAATCATGCAGTGTATTGTCAACAACTGATATCCCATATTAACCGGGACCACTTTAAATGTTGCATCAGCATGTATTTCAGTGACAGCATTTCTAAGTACATGCTGTATCAAGTTGGTGCATGCGAAAATAACATTACTCCTGCCATCAACATCATGTACACATCCTCTAAAGAATGGAGCATCACAACATCCAAATCTATTTAGTTGTTCATTTTCAAACAATGTGGCCAAGTCGGATAGTGAATTTGGCAGTCTTGGCATTGTACTTCTCCTGGTAAATCGCATAATCGATTCAGCAGTAGACCATGGATATAATCCTGCTGCTACCACATGCCTGTATTAATTATTATTCAATATCAATAAATTACCTACAGTATAAATGACACAGTATTTAATAAAAATAAATGTGAATCATTGATTTCAAATGAAGGTCTTTAAGATTCATTGTATATACCATCGCTGAATGGCTCGGGATTTTTTTTTTTTAAATACCCAGTGCTGTGAAGAACATTTTTAAAATTTATTGGAGTAAATACTAAAATACATTTTTTTGTCGAGTATTTAAGATACTACTCAAATACTTTGAAAAAGTATTTGGAATACCTTAAAAATACTTTTGGTTTTTAATGTAGGTTTATAATCATGTTTATTTTAATTATTTATTAAATAAATGTTTATTACATTTTAAAAACATTAGGGCCTTATTCAATATTCATAGTCAATGCTTAAGAATAAGTATAGCCTAAGCTAATTTTGATAATTTAAAAATACAAATTTGTGATAATAACTTAAAGCAACGCTTAAGGTAGGTCTCGACCAACCTTAATTTAAGTAGGTAATACTTTTTCTTTTTTAAGCCAAAGTCTCGTTTATGTATCTCATTTGAATCATAAGTGTAGCTTAAGCAATACTTATTCTTAAGCATCGACAACAAATAGTATTAAATTGAATATGGACCTTAATTTTCAAAATGTTCATATATTTTTATTGAATGTCTATTGAAAAAACCTGGTTTTCAAAAACATTTGTGCTAACACAGAAATACAGAATACTAAATAAAACTTACTGTAGTTGGCAATAATAATTTTCCAACCAAATATTTAGAATAAAAATAAAATGTTTGAAAAAAAACCAAATTATTCAATACAATTAAGTATTTAATACAAAAAAAAAGTATTGTAAATACTTCATGCTGAAAGTATATAGAGAGTTATTCAATACTTAAAAAAGTATTTAAAAAGTTATTCAATGCTTAAAAAAGTATTTGAAGACTTTTACTCAAATACTTTACAGCACTGTAAATACTACATCATTCCAAATTACTCTACCTATTGTAATAATCAGTAGCCGATTTAAGGGGAGGGGGGACGTGAGGTCCCTGACATAGACTTACCGTCTATGCTAAAAAAAAAAAAATAGTTACCTACTTATAATTTTTATGTAACAAAATTAAAAAATAAATAAATATTTTAGAGAGTCTTGGTAATTTGCGCTTTAATAAATATTTGATATGAATAGCAGGTAGGTACCTAACGATAAAATTAACTGTTTTATGTTATAATGTATTTATAAGTCAATAGGGTGGTGTGGGGTGAGTCAGTTTGAGATTATTTAAAGAGGATGGGTATTTATATTTTCCAAACACACGTCAATTTTTATTTATTCTAGCAGTATTACCAGTTACAACATCTACAACAAGTGAGAGATATTTTTCAATTCTGAAAAAGATTAAATGTTGTATTTTAGAATGACTGTTATTGGGGACTATCACTATTTTTCATATTTTTATGACCCTAAGAACATACCTTCTTGATTCTTCATCGTATATGCTTTTCAACGGTATATTTTCTGTAGCTGCTCGATGTTTTAAAACTGCTCGGAAATTAGAGATCAAGCCCTGGTTATTGATCCCTGGTTCTCTACCATGACCTCTGTGTGGTTTAACCGTAACGAATGTACCATTTTCCAGTCTTTTTATAGAACCGTTACAAAAATGTGTACGGGCTTTAATGCATTTAAAATAACTGAAATATTAAAAATAAATAATTACAATAACTGCATGTTTATTTTAAATTCATAGTTACTTATAATAATAATGACGTGTCTTAAATTATTACCTATGTTGAATATAACATATTAACTGAAAAAACATCACTTTTGCAAAGGTAATACAATTGAATATTGGAATTTGAATAGGTATAACAAAAAATATTTAAGTGAAATTAATGAATTGTGCAAAATTAATATAATTTAAGTTGGCATAATAACTAGGTAGGTATTTATAAATTATAATTAATCATACTTACGTGATTCCATTTCGACTGCCATTATTATTATATTTGTACCCATCATTGGGGTCCATTTTTAATTTTAATTATTTAAAATTAAATTAATTTAAGTATACAGTATACACTATACAAATGTATAAAAAATATTAAATACGACACAATCACAATTAATACACCAACAAAGACCTCAAAGAAAAACAAATCTCGAGTGACGTGGCTCGTAAGAATATCGAAAGTCGATAAAGGGCAAATGGCAAATGACAGTGGCGAGACGTCTAAAAGTCTTAACTGTTGTGGCATATTATAGGCAGTGGGATGAAAAATAAACCAACATTTATAATGAATTTTTCCAGTACCTAGTTCAAAACTATTTCTCAGCAATACATTTTACAATTATTTTTTCAGAATCCTATCCCACAGAGTTAAAGATTTTACATTAGTCGTTTCCCTGAAGTCTTGGAACTGGTTTTTGAGAAGTTTTATGCCACCAAAATCGCTCGTGTAGACGGTTTTGGTTGAATTATATAAATCCCTAGAAATGAACGATTCATAACTATATAGATAAGCAATATGAAGATTATTAATATTACTCACTATGTATTACTCAAATTAGACACAAGTATCTAATTCAAAAACAAAGCTATTTGCGTTCAAAAAATTTAACATCTTTATTACATATATATTTCACATAGGTATTGAATAAAAATATATGTAGGTACCTACCTTGTACCTATAACGGAGTATTAACTTATACAACTTATATGACTTGTATAACTTATAAATGTTTTCGTCATTGGATAGCAATTCGCAGAACATATGTATTTTGCATACATTTTAGAGTGTTTATAGTGGTGGTAAATTACACACACTTTAATTTTTTATACATGTATAAATATCTTGGCTTTTAAGAAGTCGATTTTAAATTTTAAAGACCTCAAAATTAAGTTTTTTTTCAAAAATCCCATGAAATAATTGCATTACATTTGTATTTATTTTGTATTTATTTTGGGCATATCTGATTTTAAATCAAAAAAGTGATTCCTATAGAGCATAGTGTAAAAGCTTATAAATGCAACTATTTTTTCGAAATTATAATCGAACAATTGACTACTTCTTTTATAGTAGTTTATATAGTTATGCAAATAAGAATATATTTAATTTTTCACGAAGTAATATGCGTGCGTGTGCGACAGTTACCCGACGCGGCATTACATAGCGATTTTCGTAAGACACACACTAATTTTCATTTACTACAGCTATAGATATAGCTCAAAAGTTTCTTTTGAAAAGGAAGACCCCTTCCCAACCTAAATTTATTTAGCAATATAGTTGTATTTGTCAAAAAACACATGATGAAAATCTATACCAATGCATATTTTGCAACGCGCCTACACTCCTAATCAGAATGGTTTTTATGTGAGTAGGTATAATACCTACCTAAAATAAAAAAAATACATTTATAGTAGGTATAGGTATATTTTTTATTAATTTGCAATTACCTAAACCAAACACTTCCATGTGATAGGCCAAGTGACAACATTTAACAAAAAAAAGGTGCTCTACTACTGTACTGTAGTTTACAAGTGGGTCACTGTATAATGGATGGTATTAAATTTGAATTCAATGATATAATATCATTGTATAAGAAAAACGATTCTGAGCGGAGACGGTATGTCAGTTTAGGCTTATAACATATTATATACATATCTATGGTAGTAAAAAAAATTGACCTATAATAGGTACCTATACTAAATTCCAAATTAATCATATCACAATATCCATTAGGTACTTATAACGCATTAACGCGTTATACATCAACAACAAACCGTGAAACTATCATAGATATATAATATAGTACCTACACTATAGAAGTTTCAAGTACCCACGAATAATATTATACAATCACAACAAAATAACTAAAATAGTTATTCTAGGTTTTTTAATATGTAATTTCGTCCAAATTTGAACTTAAAATGTCTATAAAAATAAACTGTGCGTGTGTATTTTTTAGATTTTTTGGTAACAGAATTAAATACTTACGTGGAATCTTGTTTTAAATTTTCAGTCCTTAGATAATATAAAAGATGAACATTTTATAAATTTTTAACCACAAAATTATTATTCAATTTTAAATTTGGTAAATTTTGTCAAAATTCGATCTTTAAAAGCTTATAAAAAAAATTGTGCTTATGTATTTTTAATATTTTTCAACTGCTATTGTAACAATATATCAGGAGCCTTGTATTACATTTTTACACTTTTTGGCTCAACAGATATTACTTTATTGATATTTATAGAAAAAAAAACTAAAAAAATTGAAAACTGAAAATGTCCGTAAATAGCTCAAAAAGAGTCAAAATATTTTCAAAATTGTATGGTGTATAGGAAATGCTAATATAAACATTCAGTGAAATTTTCATGTATCTACAGTTATTCGTTTTTGAATTACAACAAAATAAGGAAATCGCTACATGAGAAATCGAGTGAAAATCTAATGTTGTAAAAATTTGAATTTCAAACGCTCATAAAAATTTAATTTGACTGTCCGGTAGAGATTTTTTTATTGATAAAGGTAGATAATCTTATAAGGAATCATGTGTTTCATTTTCAAATCTTAGATTTAAAAAGAAAAATTTTTACGAATTCTTAACTCAAAATAATTTGCTAATTTTCACGATTTTTCCATATTTTGTCAATTTTTGAACTTTAAATGCTTATAAAAAAAAATTGTGACTAAGGATTTTTAATATTTTTCATCTGCCTTTGAAACAACATATTAGGAGCCTTCTATTAAATTTTCAAGCTTACGCAACCAACAAATAAAATTTTATTGATATTTTTAGAAAAAAAACTAAAAAAAAATGGAAAATGAAAATGTCCCTAAACAGTTCAAAATAAATCAAAATATTTTGAAAATGTTATCGTGTATAGAAAATGCAAATATTAACAACCAGTGAAAATTTCATATATATACGTTCATTTGTTTTAGAGTTACACCAATAACCAAAATCGATTTTTTGGAAAACCAATTTTGCGTAAAAATTCCCGTTTTTCCTTAATTTTTATGTTGTTTTTCCCGGCGCTTGTGAAAACTACTGGGAAATTTATACTTTTGACCCCCCAAAGGACCAACTAGATTCCCTTTCCTATCAGAAAAGCTACTGATGAAGAAAATCCAAGAACTTTTACTGTCCTAAAACGTGATGACAGACACAAAAATATAAAAATATAAATAAAAACATACATCATTGTAAAACCAATACATTCATCGCTCCGCTCAGAATCTAAAATATAAAAAAAAACACACATCATTGTAAAACCAATACATTCATCGATCCGCTCAGAATCTAAAATAAATTAAATTAAAAAAATTAAAAAAAAACACACATCATTGTAAAATCAATGCATTCATCGTATCACTCAGAATCAAAAATTCCCTTAATGTATAAAATTCCCTATATGTATATGAATATTGAGTATTATGTTAAAATTAAAATAAGGCAGGCAAGTGGGTGTCACTCTGCTGTACAATAGGTACAATGTTTAGGTAACAAGTAGGTCACTGTAGTCTATAATGGACGGTGTTAAATTTGAATTCAATGATAGTTATAATATCATTGTATTGAGTATTCCCATACGGAAAATGACTCTGGGCGAAGACGGTCAGGGTCAGTTTATGATATATTACTAAGTACCTATATTTGATGATATTATTGTGAATAAAGTAATTTATTTACATATTTACGCGGAACCTTGTTTTAAAATATTAGTTAAGCTATTACCAACAAAATACAACTGCGTATACGTTTGATTAATAGTACAACCCCTTGTGTTTGTCCCTTAAATCTTAGTATATGATGTATTATATAAAATACAATTTATGTTGGATATATTATATCTCAGTACAATCGTATGATTCTAGACTGTTTTTTAGTTTCAGGGTGAAACAATATATTATATATAATATTTAACTTTGAAAATCATAGAAATATCACGTTTTTTTATATTCATATTAAAACCTGAAAATCCTGAATAATGTTATGACCTTATGTAGGTATACTGGTATACATTAATTTAAACGACAATAAAAAATATCAAAAATCGTTTGTCACCTTTTTTTTATAAGAGTTGGCTCAAATTTGACAACAATGACGGATTTTTTAAAGTTATTATTTAGTTTATTTAATTAATATTTAAAATAATTATTTTTTTTAAGATTTAAATTTTCTATTGAGCTTTATTCAGAATCATTTTTCCGAATGCATAGTTTTTTGTCGTTGCATTCAAATTTAAAATACCAACCACATTTACAAGTTGTAGGCAACTAAATTATCGTGATTATTAGGTAAACTCCCACGGAGAAATAGCCTAAAAAGCCAACTTATTACACATCACCATAAGGTATCTTGAGTGTATCATAAGGTACATTACACGATATGTACAATAGTATTTTTGAAAAGCAAAAAAAACGTTATTTGGTCAAAACGTACAAAAACATTTTCAAACTGTGTAGGTGGTAGAGCCGGTAGGTACACGGATATAAAAAAGTTGAGAACCGCAGTATTGGTGTATTACGTGTAAAATATTATACTGGTATACTTAATTTATATTAGATACTTCAGTATTTGTATGAACATGTAGGTATAAATATGAATAATAAAAAAATAATATTCTGTTCTCGTATTTTAACATATAAGAAAAATTACAACTTACAAGTGCATAATAACAATGCCATCAATCATAATTAATCATAGACAAAAACCTAGACAATTATATTTTGTATATTGTTTATAATGTACTATTCCAATTTGTTAGTTTCATTTTTATAAGTTTCCATGAAACCCTCTGTCGATGGCTTCACCCTCTCCATTTTTCAACTTAAGAAACTGTACTGAACCCACTTCCAAAACATAGACAAAAACCTAGACAATTATATTTTGTAAATTGTTTATAATATTGTACTATTCCAATTTGTTAGTTTCATTTTTATAAGTTTCCATGAAACCCTCTGTCGATGGCTTCACCCTCTCCATTTTTCAACTTAAGAAACTGTACTGAACCCACTTCCAAAACCTAGTGCATACTATTATTGAAAAAGTTGGACGGTACCGCGTCGGTACCTATTAATATTTAGTTTGGCTATTATTCGCTGTTTCATGAGAAGTACCTATCCTTAGCCAGTGACCAATATTTATTTTTGTTGACAGAGTATAGTTACATAGATGCTCCATTTGATGGCGTTAGCGTCGTATGTTATACTTTTCCGGAATTTTACGTTCCGTGAGATTACGGTCCATGTCATTTAGCTTTCCGTACAATTACAGTCCAGGAGATTAAGGTTTTTGATTTTCCGGGGTATTACGGTCCGGGGTATTACGGTTCAGTAATTTTTAATTCCGGATAAGTACAGTCCGGACAATTACGGTCCGCAGTAATTTTTTTTCCGGATTTTTACGGTCCGCGATATTACGGAAAAATTCCGGATTTTTACAGTCCGCCTTATTATTTTCCGGGCATTTACGGCGCTCCAATTAATCATAATAATTGTTCATAAAATATTGTAAATTTAGTGACAGTCAAAATAAAATCATATATATAACATACAAAAATAGTATAAGTCATCCAATTGATAATTATTAATTATATTTAATAATACATAGTATAATATTATAGTAATAAAAATAATAATAATAATAATAATATCTATATACTACACTATTATGCATATAATAGTGGTGTGGAATCTTTGTTACGGGTTAGTTTCTAATCTACTTATTCAATTGTCATGAATTTTTTTTTTAATTAAAGAAGAGCTACTAAAACAAAAAACTAAAATAGAGCAGGTTTTAGGTATAAATTTAGTCCGATAAAGTAAGTAAATAATTAGTTATGAACAGGGCTCGGGAGTTCATGCATTTGCATTTAAGTTTTGGTAGTTTATTTCAGTTAAATGATATTAGTAAATAATAATTTTTGATTATTTACTCGTAAATCAATTTTTTAATAAATCAAAAATATTAGTGTAAAATTTTCATATTTAACGCGTTATAAATTTTATAAAGAAAACAAAACGTGCGTTGGTATGTTGGTCATTCTAAATCAATTTTTTCTACATAAATATAAAAAAATATTTAGAAAAGTTCTATGTCGATGTAATTTTCAAAGTCAAGAACATAAAAAAACATTTAATCATCCAGTGTAGCTTCGTTTGCGATAAGTTTAAGCAGTGAAAGTTTAAAAAAGCAGGTAGGTGGATGTCGCTCTGCTGTACAGTAGATTACAAGTGGGTCAATGTATAATGGATTGTATTAAACTTGAATTCAATGATATAATATCATTGTATAAGAAAAACGATTCTGAACGGAGACGGTTTGTCAGTCTGTATATTTTATATTGTCATTAATTATTTTATTTATTTAATTATTATTTTTTTTATTCGTTGCTACGGTGATAAACAAATTGTTAGAAATTAAAATCCCATTTTAAGCGGTTTTTCGTAATTTTTCAGTACTTTTTCCAGTGGCATTAAATAACTATTGAGAAAATCGAAAAATGACCTCTCTAAAGTACCATCTTGGTCCAATTTGCTAAAAGATAAGGTACTATATGTTGAAATCAAAGCACTCCTTCTGGTAGAAATTTTGTATACAGGATATAAAAAAAATTTAAAAAATTTAAAAAAAAACACCATTGTAAAATCACTAGCTTCCTTGCTCCGCTCAGAATCTAAAAGTATTTTTTACAACACTGGTTATAGCTAGGTATAATAAATATATATCTAGTCAATGGTAATATTTACACATATTTACAAATACAAATATTTACACATATTTCAAAACTAAAATTAACAAAGTGAATAACATAAAAATCGAATAATAATATCTTAAGAGGACCTTTTTTTTTTAGAAAACAATTTGTACCTTTCAAAAGCATTGATTTTAATTTTATCCGATTCATTTTTATTTACATTTATTTTGCCAGATAAAATTCTATTGATTTGCGTACACCAATTATGTACCATTAATTTTACCACAAAATTAACAAATTTTTGTGGAAAAATTAATTTATGGTCAGGACATGTTATGTATTTTACATCAACTTTTTCTTCAATAATATTAATCAACTCTTTTTTCAAATTTTTATGATGGCATATATTAGGTAAATTATGAGAAATAATATTAATTACTTTTTGCACCAACATACAAAATTTAGAATTCGGATATTTCAGTAGATAATTACCATTATGTTTATAGTCTCTAGCCTGAATTAATTGATGGTCATTTGACAGTTTTGAACAAATTTCATTTAGACATAAACGGCAGTTTTTAAACAAGACAGAATTCAACTTTTTTACAATATATCCTGCTATATAGTTCTGGGTTTGACTTCCTAATAATGTTAAACTATAATCATTGTCTACAAACTTTTTTGGCAAAACATCAGCGACTCGTTCTTCGATTTCTTGTTCGATAGTATTTGCTTCACAGTTTGTATACATTTCAAATAATGTTTGGTAAGAAGTCAAACAGCCACCTGAGAAATCTTCTTCGCAGTTACTACCTGGAGAATGTGCTGACATTAGGTTGTTGAGGAGTAAGGTCTTGTATGCTGAGGCAAACATTTCGCATGTCGGATTATTATTTCTATATCCCAAAGCCCGTATTGCACCGAATAAATTCTCCAAAGCATCTTGGTTCAAATGCCTTGGCAACAATACCTTAATACCGTTGTCATTCAATGTTTTGAATATATTTTGAAAACCTATTTTGGATTAATAAATAATTAGGTAAATAATTCACTTACTAAAAAAAGTTAAACTTACTTCTAATAGTTTTAATCCAATTCTTTAATGTAGGTGGTTGTGGAGTACATGGTTTGTTAGTAGAAGGATTCACAAATTTCATGGTACTCAAAACTTTCAAAGACTCTTCCCACAATTTGTGATGAGGAGAATTTTTTTTTACTCCTGTTCTATAAATCTTTCCATCAACTACTTTATCAAAGTTTCCATTAACTGAGTCGAATAATTTGTCAAAAAATAAACAAAATTTTGCAGTGTCTCCAGCTGTATCTCCAAGAATATTTTGAGCTGTAAAATAGGTTTAATAAAACAAAATTATATATTATGTTAATTAGTTTTATTTTGATGTTACTCACTTGCTAAGAATGCCATAATGGATGAAACTCGTTGGCTAAACACTTGAGCAGCATTTCTAACTTTCATTTTCGGAATTTCTGTAGGTATGACATGTTGTCTAGTCAACCTAGGCAACATTTTAACATCTTCTATGTTGCTGTCCAATTCATATAGCTTCAATATATCACTCCATTGAGCTAATTTTTCACCATCAACATTAAATATTACATTTTTTGTCAACAAATTGTTACGGATTCCTTTCAAAAGGTGTGGTGTATCATACAAGTGAAAAATTTTAACTACATCAGATTCACATTCTATTTCATAGAAATCACCATAGAATGATTCATTCTTCCTTAAATAACGTGCTTTGGTGTCGTTCATAAGAATATTAATAGCTGCTGTATTGGTCGCTCCTTGATCACAAATGCTTGATATTATATTCAATCCAGTTAAGTGTACCGCTCGAACTACCTCTCGAATTTGATTAGCTAAATCATATCTATTTGTTGTACTTTTACAAAATGAATAACAAATAGGTTGTTTGAAGTTTTTGACAATTCCACGTACCATAAACACTAAGCCATGATCAGCAAATTGTTGAGTTTGTGTTGACCCATTGTCTTCAAAACCATAAATTCTTCCCTCACTATTATTAAAATTCAAATTTGGATTTATACTAACTTCGTCAAAAACAATTGAGCAAAACCTGTGTTGAGGTTTAAGTTTTTGAACATTAATTTTTAGTACGTTCAGCATTCTCTGATCTATCCCAGTACTTATTGGGATTAATGACATCATTGTAGAAAGTGTTCGTTTACAAGGCAGAACAAACATCTTACACAGCAATCTATATGATTTTGGACTTTGCTTATACAAGGACAAACTTAATAATTTTTCGTCTAATGTAAAACGACGTCCTTTTGGTTTGTTCTTTGTTTCTCTTAGTTGTAATTTTGTAAAAATTTTGGCAGCAGTAGTCATCTGGTCTGAATCATGTGTATTAAAAAAATTGCTAGCACTTTTCAAACGTTCTTTAAAAGTGTTACATTTTCGACGTTCACGATGCAGGAGTTTTTGAAGTTTCAAACCATCTGTGTATAGAGATTTACATTTTGGTGTAAGTCTGGAGGTTCGGTTTATACCAATTTTGTGCAAGAGACCTAAAGCAAATTATAATTTTAAATTAACATGTACCTAATAAAATAAATTATTAACATTTATATTAACCAGGTTTATAAGAGCCAGATTTTAAGCAAGCAGCGCTGCCACTAGTACAAGCAATTTCTGAATTAGGAACACTACCATTATCTGTAGATAAGTGAAAAATGAACAAATTAATTAAAGATAAATGAGAAACCCAAGACTTGCTGTTGGTTGCAAAAAGTATAATATAACAGGGTTGCTACTCATTTTTTTCTTGTGAATAAAGTAATAGTTATATATGACCTATTTACGTGGAACCTTTTACATTTTCAAGCATTAGCAATAAAAATTTTACATTTTATACATTTTTACTTACTTATTTTTTCATACTTTTAGGCTCCTGATATCTCCTCAATATATATTGTTACTATAGCAGTTGAAAGATATTAAAAATACATTGTTATACATTTTTTTTAGAAGCATTTAAAGTTCAAATTTTAACTAAATTTATCAAGTTTAAAATTTAATAATTATTTTGTAGTTAATGAGCTTTATAAAAGTGAGGTATCAGTGAAATAAGTGCAAAAAAAGTAAAAATAGCGATAAATAGTGAGTGCGTAGCAACCCTGATATAAGCTCATGCATTGCAAGCATTATTAAATTGCAATTTTTTATAAGACTTTTTCATAGTAGGTACATACAAATCAGGTCAACGGTGGAGCATTGAATATTATGCTCAGTTACATCGATAGATTCATTCAGTTCCTCTATGCCAGAAATATTTAAATTTGTGGACATGCAGCTGGTATGAAATGGTTTGGGCATAACAGTATCAGCTAAAAAAGAAATTTAATTAACAGATTTTAACTAAATTTAAATAGAAATGTATTTCTTACTTGCACTTTGATTGGCCATATGGAGATGTGGCAAATGTGGTATGGGCATAACAGTATCAGCTAAAAAAGAAATTTAATTAACAGATTTTAACTAAATTTAAATAGAAATGTATTTCTTACTTGCACTTTGATTGGCCATATGGAGATGTGGCAAATGTGGTATGGGCATAACAGTATCAGCTAAAAAAGAAATTTAATTAACAGATTTTAACTAAATTTAAATAGAAATGTATTTCTTACTTGCACTTTGATTGGTCATATGGAGATGTGGGAATGCATTGCGATTTATGACTTTTGTACCAGGGCTGAAATTCTCTTTACTAAAATGATTTGAACATACTCTGCGCTTTTCATAAATCACAGAATACTCCATATCTTTGAAATCATCATTCCCTATAACTTCCATCCATTTTTGAAACATCAACAAATTTTTTTGGGGGTTGGGAAATCTATGTGATGTTCCACCTACATTCATGTATTATAAAATAAAATATTTAAGTACTTAGTTTGAGCAAAAGATTATTCATTATAATACTAAATACATTTAAAGTTATGTCATAGGTACTAAGTTTCTGGAGTACCTATGATGTGCTGTTCATTTTCATTTTAATAATATCATTGATTATAAGTATTATTAGTATTTATAATCAATGGCACTAGGTAAACAGGTACTATCAGAAATACTAGAACAGGTAATATAATAAATAGGTATTAATATATTATATACCTAGTAATAATCAGTGTTCGGATTGGATAAGTATTTTTTTTTTATCTAGATAAAGGTAAAGATAATGCATAAATAAATAATAAATGGGAAATAACCAGCTAATAATACAATCGTTATTTGTACATGCTATTAAATACCTATAACTTTACAAATAATTTTAAAAACCACATTATTTATACACCATACACTTTGTATGAGTTTCTGAATAAAAATTTAAAAATGCGTTTGAACAATTTCGTGATTTTTATCAATAAAAAATGTATCTAAATGAATTTATTTAGATTAGTAAAAAAATGATGTAAGATAAACGTTTAGATACCTCGTAACTATTTATCTAAATAAGTCAGAACACTGGTAATGATGTACCTAATATTAATAGTACCTACTGGATTGTGTGCACAGAACTCAGATAAAATACCTACATTTTACAATAGAATATACGAAATCAAAGTTAGTAATAAATTAAAAACACTTACCCTTATACGAGCAACCTTTTACACAACATTTGTATGCTGCACGACCCATCATCAAGATTGTTTTGAAAATTAAAACAAATTACAATACAAAATAATTCACCAAATCACGGTAATTTGCAAATCGGGAGAAAACTGAAAATACGATGGAACATGGAACATGGAAATTACAAAATTGTGCACTTGTGCAGTTGTGCCAGACGTGACCACGTGAGACACCGGTGTTGGCCGTCGGCGGCGGCGGCAGCAACTTAAGCGCTCCTCGTGGCTGGTGAATCGTACTATTATCAATGTTCAAAATTATGCTATAGAGTTGCCTTAGCCTGCGTTAAACCCAGGGATCGAAATGATAATCCAGTCGCTAAATACCTAATCGATAAACCAAAAAACAATTTTAACTTTTATAACATTTTTTTAACATTAAAAATAACTGAGAAATAAATAAACTTGTTTCTACACTAAATTTACAAAAAAATTATTATCAGAAAAAAGGACATGTTACAACTGTTTTGTATTTTAGGTGAACAGGCTCGTAAAGCATGGGCAAATCTTAGAGACACATTTAGAAGGAAACTAAAAACGGATACTGAAACCAAAAGTGGTCAAGGAAGGTCCGAAATTGTGAAATGGCCTTTTTTTAATACCATGATGTTTTTAAAGGACGTGATGATACCCAGGGAGAGCTCAGGAAATTTGCCTCTCACGTATGATGAAAATGAACTATCTCCAAGTTATTTAAGCAACGCCACGCTAGAAGATGTAGATGAGGAAAATACAAATGATACAGAGGCAGATATCAATTGTTCTATCAGGGAACCTGAGGAATCTGGATCAGAATTCACTTCATTTGCCAAACCTCAAAGCAAACAACAGCCATCAAGTTCTTTAAAAAGAAATAATAAAAATGATAAGGACACAATTCTTTCAAAAAAACAAAAACAAAATAGTTATGATTCCCAGGTGCTTGAAATTGAAAGAAGGAAAATTAATCTGATGGAAAAACGATTTTCTCGACCAAATACTCATCAAGATGATCAAGACTACGCATTCTTCATGAGCTTACTGCCTTCCGTTAAGCAACTAAATCAGATTGAGAAAATGAAACTACGAATGAAAATCATGAATGATGTCACAGATGCATTGGAAGCACACCAGTTCGTGAAGGAAGTAAATTCGTCAAGAATCATACCATCACCCATTGATTCCCCTTTGTCGTCACCATACAGTACTGAAGGTTCCGAGCATTCTCAATCATCTTCAATGTCGTTTCAAGCGAATCAAGCATATCAGACTGAAGTACAACCTTCACAACAGGATTTATATAATCTAATGAATCTGTGAGATTCCATTTTCATATGTCATTTTTTTATTTGGAAACAATAAAGATTTTTTAAACTTTTATATTTTATTTTATTTTATTTAAAACATTCAGAATATTTCTAATTTTTAAAGTACCAAACCAATCCTTCCATTTTGTTATTGAAAAAATGTAATTGGTTAATTTTATTAAGTAAACTTGTGCTCGCTCAGATTCATTGTATTCGAAGGCAATATTTACCATTATTTAAAATTTAATACGTTCAAACTAGTGATATCTAGAGATACTCACGAATCGTTACTAGTTTTTTTAATATATTATATCTATATAATGAAAAGGTACTAAAGGTTTATTTACCGTACTGTGATGGTGAGTTTTTCTTCTGGACTGACACATACCCTGAAGTTTGATTGACCAATTATGTCGTTTCTTATTCCTCCAAGAATGTAATCAAATGTTTCAATACTCATACGATGGTATTCCCTGAACTTAACCGGGTAATTCCGCATAGGTACGCAAGTTGTAAAAAATTCTCCTCTCGATCGATCTAAATTGAATTCATGGACCCATGTCTTTGTTCTACGTTTCTTTAGTAGGGTGTTGTTTTCCAGCAAAAACCAGCACAAAAAATCATCATCAGAATCACTCATTTTGTTATCACGTGTTTACTGCAATAGATTCTACTACAAACTGCAGTAGAACGGTAGACAGTATACAGTTAAACGGATAACGTCGGGACCAGTGTAGGCATTCACGTCTGACGTCATCGGAAACCGATGGACGGATAACTTCGGATCGGATCGGATCGGGAGAAATGCGGACCTAATGTAGGTGCGGCCTTACGACACAGTCCCCTCGTCCCGCCTTGCCGTTACCGGCTCGGTGGGAGAGTCAACCCGGTCGCGCTGCTTGCATCCCGTGGTGGTGGTTGGAGATAAGATGACTGGTCGCTATAGTGCTTAGTGATGGGCACAACCAACTAGTTTTGACTATCGATTGTCTATCGATAGTTTGAATAACTACCGAGTGATCAATCGAATAATAAATTACAAGAACGATTGGATGCAATTACCAAAAAAAATCGATAGTATTTGATTACAATCGAATGTTGTAAGCAGCTACCGACTGACAATTCGATAATCCATAATACCGACTGATAATTCGATAATTCATACTACCGACTGATAATTCGATAATTCGATAATTGAACTATCGACTGACAATTCGATAATTCATACTACCGACTGATAATTCGATAATTAAACTATCGACTGACAATTTGATAATGTACCTAACATTGATAATATCGATAATTGGTATTATTGTGTATAGGTTTAAACATGCGTTGTTAAGGTGAATTTTAATCTATACTTATTTAAACTTCTTCATGTATATACAATCATTAAGACCTAACTTAACTGACCAACATATTGCTTCCCACTCAAAATAAAAGGTTATTAATTTTACAGTTGGACTTAGAATATGGAGCCATATTTACATTAAATTAAATTATTTTACTTTAGAAAACTATGTGATTAGAGAATTTACTTGCTGTTTGCTAGATTTAAGTTTATTGTGACATTTTTTATTGAGTGTATTTAATTAATTACAAGTTAATTTTATGCCCTTTAATGTTGTTGAATTATTAGTTCTGCTATCATTTCTTGAAGCTTTATCAATTTGCATTGGAGAATTTTAGACAGCTGAGTCTAATAACATTCGCAAACGAACTGATTAACTTTTTAATGTTGTGAATTTTAATTTAAAATAATTAGTTTGACAACAAGTAAATTTAAGTTTAAACAATAACTTACGTTGATATAATTATTAATTAATAAAGCACTTATGGAACTTTATAAAAATTTATAAAATTATTAATATTAATATTATTCAATATTCATATTTTTATTTAGAAAAATTAGTTTGTCTAAATTGTCTGGCAACAAACGATTTCTTCTTTCACTCATTATTTGGCCAGTTTTTGAAAAAATTCTTTCGGATGGCACCGATGTTGCAGGGATTGTTGCATATTTCAATGCAATATCACTAAGAGGACTTAAAACATCCTTATGATGCTGCCAATACTGGATCAAATTACAGCTGAGATTCTGGTATGGCATTCCTAAATATTGCTTCACCAAGATGATAGCATTGCTCCTATTAGTTGTTTGACTCTGAATCGAATTAACTTTTTCAGTTAGGAAACTCCAAAGACTTTCTTCAGATTCAGACTCATTTACTTCAGCTTCATCAACAGCTTCATCAAGAACTAAAATAAATTTAAAATTTATTTTAATTAAAATATATTAGGTAATTGATTTTTACTTTTTTGGAGACATTTTTTAATTGGTTATTCATATAGTTTTTACCAGTTGTTTGATTTTGGACTAAACCAACAATTTCTGAAATGATTGAAGCTTCAGCATCATTAGCATTTTGCTGATTTGTGAAACATGCCTTTTTACTCCTGGGATCTAGGAATGCTGCATTAGCATAGTAAGGTATTGGCAATAATTTTTCAAGTGACTGAAAACGATTTCTCACATTGTTCAATAATTGCTCCCGAAGAAACTTCCCTTGACTTGTTCTTGGGTTTTTTTTTGATAATGTGTTCTGTAATCCTAAATGTAAACATCAATATTGAAATGGAAAATATAAATTTTAAAAATACTAAAAATATTGTATTGTTAATGTCTAATACATTTTAAATAATTGTTAAAAAGTATAGGTTTTAATTTCATATTATAAAATTATAATAAATTATATTAATCATGATATTCTGTTTTAGAAAATTTAAATAGAATATGTACCTCTTACTAATGGTATTACTTTGGAAATAGTTGGAGCCTTTTCATACGATAGTTCTACAGTCATTTTATCAAATGGTTGCAATAAAGGAATTATATCTTCTACAACATCCCATTGACTTGGAGTTAGATTCGATTGCCCATCTCTTAATGACATTAGGACTATGGTTACAGGTTCTTTCAATTTAAATAATCTTTCTAACATAACTAATGTACTGTTCCATCTAGTCCTGACATCTTGTTTCAATTTCAAAGTATTTGTCATCCCTAGTTGTTTCTGCTTTTCAACAAGATGTCTATTTCCAACTTCACTTCTTTTAAAAAAACCTACTATACTTCTGCATTTTTTTAAAAGAAACTTTATCTGGTCCGCATCATTATCTTCAAAGGAAACTTGATCATCATAATCAATATTAGTCATCAATGCTTGACTTACAATTAAATTTAGCTTATGAGCTGTACATGGTATATGAGGTAAATTCATTAATCTTACAGCTGCTTTAATATTACTACCACCATCCGTAACTATACCAGCTATCTTACTTTGTATGTCCCATTTATTAAATTCAGTCAACAATACTTCTGCCAAATTTTCCCCTGTATGATTGTTCAAAAGTTTTTTTGTGCACAAAACTACAGTATTAAGTCTATCACCTTGAACAAAATGTGCAGTAATAGTAATAAAGGAGTCGGTATTGATAGATGTCCATATGTCTGTTGTAATAGATACATATTTTGATTGAGCCAATAAAGAATGTACTTTAGTACGTGTTTCTTCATATAAATTTGGAATTATACTCCGAGTTAAGGTACGTCTATTTGGGATCTTGTACCTAATAATTAAATTAAATTAAAAAAATTACCTATAGTTTTATAAAACAAATTTGATTTAAGAATTAAATAATCAATACCTAGAATCCAACAACTGTACTAAATTTCTAAATCCAGTGTTTTCTACTATAGACACAGGTTGTAAATCCTCAGCAATCATCTTTACTATGGCTGTAGTAAAATATTGCACCTGTTGATCTGAGGGTGCTCCAAATCTAATGATTCGTTATAAAGAGTAATTTAACACATTTAAAGTTAATGGAAACTCATATTACAAATTATAAGAAATAAATTAAATTAGTATTTTTGTATAAGAAGTCTACAACATTACATTATTAATTAATTAAATTATTCATAAAAACCAATAACTAATTATTTTTCAATTGTTTGTGTAGATAAATATGTTGTAACTTGTAAACTAATTGAATAAAATAATAATATACAATATTATACATATTAATGTACATAAATATTACCTATTTAATAATGTTAATTGTTTCTGTCGTTTAGATGGCAGTTCACTCTGAGACAATCTTTTAGATGTGACGATTGTTTCATTTGTTACAGTTCTTTGATCACTAACCGATACAGATTCTACAGGTTGCCCACTTAACTCAGTTGTGACTGTAATATTTTATAAAAAATAAATGTGTTTTGCTGCACAATATTTTTGTGGTTTTTCAAAAAATTGGACATTTAAAATTGAAGTGCAAGTTGTACATATTAAAGTTAGTACTTACCTGATACATTGTTATTAGGCAGCTCATTTGTAGATGCTCTTTGATGAGTTTGATGTACTGAAAAGATTCCATCACGTTCCAATATTGTCATATGATCACGTTTTAGGTGATCAATAAGATTAGATGTACTATTGCCTCTTTTGTAACTTTTTTTGCATATTCTACAAGTTGCAGAATCAATAGCGTTTGGATTTTTTGTAAAATAATCCCACACGAAAGAACGGTTTTTTTTAAACATCTTACAATTTTTATAATCGAAATTATTTCATAAAAAAAGCAAAACTGATACACATTACACAGTACACACAGACACAATACTTCAAGACTAGTAACTACAAGAGTTAATGGAATGAATAATCTGAATAATCAATAAGATTAAAAATAAACATAAACAAACAAAATCACGTCATATTTTCATATTTTTAGAATTATAAAATTATAATGTTTATTTTTAATTTTCAAATTAATGTTATCAATTTACCGCACATTTTATAATAATATATTCAACAATAATATAAGTTATAACCATAATCATACAATGTATGAAAGATTCAAAAATAGCCCGCGAAATGTTTTGCACTATCACTTATATGTATATATGTATATCACACATTAATAATATTGGTTAGTGTATATTATATTAGTATACAGGGTGATATTTTTATCATTGAACACTCATTATTTCAAAAAGTATTAATGTTTAAGAAAATATTTTTTTTACATAGTTTCAAGTTGTTAAAAAACAATATTTTTATTAAAAAATAATATTTTTAAATATTTTTTATCCTTTTAATTTTTTAAGTTTTTTACTTTTTGAATGACAACATGTAATTTTAATTTGATATTCAAAAACAGAATATTTTTCTGAGTATTTCGATACATAAAAATTGAATTTAGGGCAAGTAGTTTATGAGTTATAAGTATTTAAAGTTTAGATGAGCGGAGTAGTGGACAAACATTTCGCGGGGTAACCCCGTACCATTCTACTCCGCTCATCTAAACTTTAAATACTTATAACTCATAAACTAATTGCCCAAAATTCAATTTTTATGTATCAAAATACTCAGGAAAATATTCTGTTTTTGAATATCAAATTAAAATTACATGTTGTCGTTCAAAAAAGTAAAAAACTTAAAAAATTAAAAGGATAAAAAATATTTAAAAATATAATTTTTTAATAAAAATATTGTTTTTTACAACTTGAAATTATGTAAAAAAATATTTTCTTAAATATTAATACTTTTTGAAATAATGAGTATTCAATGATAAAAA